ATGTTTCATAATTTCTTTGGTGGTGTGGCATGCCTTCAGAGCCTGTAGAATTGACTCGCTATTTTGGCTTGGCAAAATAATCTTGGGCTCACTTATCATAAAGAGAAGCATCCCTGTTTGCCTCTGTCAGGGATTGGATGCCCTTTTCTCCTAAATAACCCACTGTGGAAAAGCCATAACTGCTGGTGACCATGTTAACAGTGCCCTCATTGGCTCTTTCTCTCGGCAGAAGGCTCCTTGATATGTTAGGACCCTTATTTTAACATGCCCTCTAAAAATATCATGAGTATTTTACGAAAACACTTTTTTTTTCTGGAAAGTTGTTTTGGCAATGCAATATTTTTTCCTCATATGGGAACATATTGAGTATTATTGACCTGCAGGATTGCCAAATGCACGGCAAGATGATTTTCTTTTATTTTTGGTTCTGTCTTCTCCTTCCTGTACCCTTTTGATCTGAAGGTCTGTATTTTGCTTTTGTTTTATTGTGAACCTGCAAATTTGAGATCATACTCCCCATGACAGGAGACCATTTAGATCACACTTAGTACCAATCTATATTTGGGGCTTGAGTTATCTGTCAGTTCTTCCAAACTTGGTCAGGACCTGTATGTTGCCCAGTGTGAATGAAGTTGATGTTGCCAGTGGGGCCACAGCCCAGCTGGCGTGGTTGCTTCCTCATTCCCTCCCCAGTAAAAAAAATGAATATGGCACTAATTTGCACAAAATGGGCATACATATACACATGCATGCACGCACACACACATTTTATATCTCACCATGGTTGGAAAGACTATGGCCAGTGATGGTGTACCTGCTTTGCCAACTAAATGTTCCAGGTTCAATCCCTGTTATCACCCTGGGCTTGCAGGATAATGATGCATTTCATTGTATGAGTCAGATAGAAATTGAATCTAGCAGAAAGTGTGGCTTCACTGAGGGAGCAGAAGACTTCATCATCCCCTTGCTATTTTCTGAGTACCACATTTTCCAAATCAAGTTATAGCTCCCCAGATTTGGACGTCTAGTAAGGATCAGCCTTCATTTTCAAACTGTTGGCTCTGAATTATCAGCAATTTTTATGCAATTTCATTCAGAAAAAAGTTCAAAGTTCTTTCTCCTTAAGCTCCCCTTCCCTTCCCTTTAAATTCAGACCACATCCAAAACTTTGGCAGAGATCTGTTGTTTTTGCTGGTGATTATTTACCTCTCATTTTTCATGTTTCCTCAGGATGAAAAATGAGCAAGCAGCTAATATGTAGCTTGCCTGCTGTAAAAACCAGTACCCGGAGCCAAATTCAATTAAAAAATTACACCAGGCTCCTGTGGTTTTTTGTGGCAATTTTTGTTCCTGCACAACAATTTGCTGTATTGAGCTAGGTCCTTGATTTAGCTGGAAAACATTTTAAGCAATTCTAAAGGTATTGAGTTGCTTGATTCAGTATTAAAATTCCCAGCAAAATTCCTGGCTTTGCATTAATAGGAAGATAAAACTTTTGACCCCAAAGTTTAAACCCTGACTTTTGACCCACTTCTGCCCCTAATTAATAAATTATTCCTTCTTCCTCACCCCCCACCTATATTTGCTACACAGGACGAAGGACAAGGTAGCAATGGAGGCGAATATGTGTAGCTCAGGGTTGAACTGTGGAGTCCTTGGGGTTCTCTGA